ATAGCTTCCAATTTTTTAAAAAAATAAATCTTAGTTTATTAAATACCTTACCTATTAATAATATCAATAAAGCATTGATGATTAACTATATATATTCACCACAGTTTATTAAAGTATGTTCAGATTGTTGGAGATGATATGACTTATCTTGCAAAAACAATTTTGATCAGTTAATTAAGTGTAGCTAACTTTATTTCTGGACATATTAATATTCTAAATTAAATATTAATACTAAAATAAATAAATATAGATATTTATAGAAATCTATTGATGATTTAGATTTAAATATTTATAAATTTACAGTTACTCAGAACAATTTTAAAATTAATCGTCAATTATCGTACGGTATTATAATTTCCTTCTATAAATATTAATTTTATTTAGTAAAAAATATGTAGTAAAACCGAATGGCTTAAGTCATATTTATCCATTGGAAATTAAATGGTTTAATATACTATATATAAATTGAATGGGATAGTAAAATCCACGGATTGTTAAAAAAAGCTGTGATTTATATTAATGACATTATTATGATTGTTGGTAAAATACAGCAATGTTTCTACATAGTAATTCAATATTGAAACTAGTAATTTGTTTAATTTTCCAATCATTTGAATAAATGGAGATGCTATTCGATCCGAGTTCTTATTTGGCAATTTGATTATATATGGTCTCGATTCCCGTGTACTTAAATTGACAGGCCAATATATTATATAAACAAGTCATTTTTTAGATATATTTTTTTGCTATATTTTAATATCATACCATATAATAATTTTAAATTTATATTTTCTTTTTCCTTAACACCTAAAATAGGACGTGTGCAAAATTAGTTAATTATTTATATTCAATATTTTTAATACATATTTAATGCACTTCGATGGAATAGCTATTCCAATCGTAGACCTTACTATAATTTAAATAATAAAGTTTGATGCTTTAATATCTTAAAATAGTCAAGTGTACTTCAACTTTTGCGAAAAAAAATAATTTTAAAAATATGTACTCCCAGTTAGTGATAAGGACGTTCCAAATAAATTCCATTATCTATGGTATGTATTATCTATGAATATGAATATAATATGTATTACCGTTTGATGTAGTTTCAAATACGGACAAATTAAATTAAATTGGATTTTTTTACAAGCGAAATTGTTTTAATCAACAGACCAATGGTGCCCAATTAAATTTGTTAAAAATTATTAATAATCATATATTGATGTCCTATCGGACATGTTCTTAATTCTCCTTGAGCGTCGTTAGACATCAAAATAACTATTATGACGTCGAGTACAGTATAGTATGTAGTGGAAACTTTTGAACCAACTCCGATAGCGTGCAAAGTTTTAATGACACATGGGATGCAGACTTATAACATACATCACATTGCATGAAATGGAGAGTAGACATAGGAGTAGACAAGGAAATAAAGAGAGGAGGAATAGAGTGTAAGAGAGATGGGAAAATCGTTAGCATCAGGAACCGCTGCAGGATTCACATGTCATGTTCAAGTTAGTGAAATCGCGAAAGCAGAAATCGAGTTTTTCCCTATTTTGAGTGTTGTTTATCCAATCAGTGTAATATCAAAATATAATGTCAATTAGAAAACTTCAAACGTAGTTCGTAAACGTCATTCAAAATAACATAATATGGAGTATTCTATACATCTTCTTGTTGAGTATAATATAATGTACCTATACTATTCAAATACTTGTTTTAATGATAACCACACATACAAATTATAATACAAAATCAAGTTGAGAGTCGCATTATTTGTTTTATTTGAAATCCTTAAATTCAACACATTTTTTTTTTTAATTGGATTTAACTTGATTGCTCGTTACAGATTTTACGATTGATAATATTATAGTGCAAATTGCATAGGGGAAATTTTAATAGAATGAGACTAAATGAAAGCGTAGAGTCACGCTTTCATACAAACAAAATCGGAGAAATAGAGTTGGTTACCAACAATAAAGAACACGGTGGAAAATAAGGTATGATAAAATAAATAAAAATAGTTAACTCTCGTAATCGGTAGTACATATTTGACATACTTCAATAGGCTATAAAGTATTTCTATGTAGAAAATCACGTTTCAAAGTATATATTGATATTTAACACTAATGTTGATTTCTCATAAATTGAATAATATTATTGTAGTATATCGTTAAGCAGTCGTATACTCGTATTTCCAACAGTATCACAGTGTTTTGAGTAGTAAAACAAAAAATAAAAAATAAAAATAAAATTATAATATTTTTTTCCTAGTAGAAAAAATGAAAATAAGAATATAAATAAGAACATATTCAGTGAATCAGTTCGGTATATATTCTTGGTTACATTTCTTGATATGTTAATGTACACACAATACTTAACTGACAGAATATCTTGTAACCGTGAAGATGTATAAAGATCATAAATAAACCTATATATAAAGATAACATGGGACACGTGAGATCGCGTCTGAGGTATTTGAGAGAACGAAAAAATGAGCAGGGCACGTGTATTTTGTCAAAAGGACGTCACGAGGGATGAGACATAAAAAAATAAAAGAAAAATAACAGCACAAAATCACAATATAAAGTGTTGTTTTATCTTTGAAACCCCTCCCGTGTATTCGAAAAAAGAAATCGTATTTTAGCCGAGGAAAATAATATGTCAACGCAATTCGTCGTAGTCGTCTCGGACTCGAATTTCTTCACCGTACGTAAAATGTGCTTTGCGCGCGTAAGTTAATAAGATGATTATATTCCGTTTACTTTTTTAACGTTTATCCAATAAAGATTTTTTAACTCGAGTTTTTATTTATTTTTTTTAATTTAATATTATAATTATTTGTCTCGTAGTCGAACATAACATGCATCGTGAATGGTGTCGATGTTGTGACGTGTGTGAGAAAAAAAATGCCGACGACAAATGTGGTATGCACTGAAGGAGTGCAGTGTTGCGTTGAAATTACATAACGATGTTAAATTTTATGACCAAGGTACGTGACTTGTAGCTCTAAAAAAAAAAAAATCATGACAAGCCTTATGATACGCATTTAATAATATTTTTATATCAATGCTTATAAATACGCAATGAAAAAAATTCTAAACTATGTGAAAGAAAAACGAATTATTGAAAATTAAAAAATAATAGTACGCGCATTAAACAACGATAGAAACGTTATAACAATATAATAGCTTAATATTAACTTGGGAACATGCAAAAATATGGGACAAAATAATTTTGGATTTTCCTACATGATTGTATGGTGCGATTGCCATTGCACGAAAAAGTTTTAGAACATACAAATTAAGCGACCGATGACATTACACGTAACAGTACGTACATATGAACCATACGACGTGACACATTATAATGGCTTGACAAACACAGCCCTGCGATGATTATTTCGCTTAATCCTCATTTCATTAGTATTTTAAATGCAATACCTGTATCGTAACATTTTAATTCATAATGTCGTTTGTCCGTATGCGCAGTACATTGTCATGTGAAAACTATTCTGACGTGAAGTATATTTTAAATTCGCATTCCTTCTTACTTGTTTCCAGTGGCGTTAAAATGGGAATCGTCACAAATTCCAGTTTTCAAACTCCTACAACAATATCTCTCAGTCTAAAAACGTAATCTCCGAATCTCTCTCTAACGACCCTTCTCAATCAATTCCGTCATATGCCTGTATTATTTGTTGGTACCTTAACCGAACATAAATCCATTAATTTAAAATAAAATTTAGCTCTTTCAAAATTCCTCTGATTTAACTGCCATTATAGACTCATTTCATTCTGTTATATTAATAAACAAATAATTCATTTTCCCCAATTATTTTTGTTATTATATACACAAATTGCATTTGATATTCTTATCTGATATTATTTATTGTTTTAATTACTATACAATTATGTTTAATTTACTCTGTCTTTTACTTTTTGTATTTATAAGTTATGTAAGCAAATTCATTATTTTAACTGTAGAACCATCATAGTTATTACTATAAGTTCAAACAAAAAAATAAATAAATAAATATATAAAAAATAAAACATTATGGTTACAAATTATCGAGTAAATATGGTGTTTGAATTGAATTCCCATTATAATGTTTCAGTGGTTGGTATAAAAATACAAGTACAAACACCTCGTTTATACAGAAGTTCTGTACGAATTTGTAAAACAGAGCTGGATATTTGTGAGTAATATGGTTCGAATAAAAAAATTTAATCGCATTTGTACGTAACGTGTCAATTGTAAATTAATATATTCGATTTTATGAGTTACGTATAGTATTCAGTTTCATATAGCTGATTTTTCAGGTAAAATCATACTTAGGCTGGTTTATATTTTATATTACATAAGTACAATAAGGAGATGAAAATATCAAATAATAAAAAATAGTTTCCAGGATGACGTAATATACTAAGAAATCGTCTTACAACATGAGTATATCGTATTATAAATACAGTAAATGTTCACTATACGCAATTATTGGTGATAAAATGTATAAGATTATTTATTATTTTTGTATATAAAGAGCTTATTCAATTTAATTGACCTATATAATGTATAATTAACATTGCAGTGTATTTTCATTGCAAAAAAACATAAAATTATGTTACCAATATATCATTGTTTTTATAACAAGTTACGGTGGTCCGAAGATAAATATATATCGTTCGATTGGTCGCAAATGTACTTAATTAGTATAAATTGAAAATAGTGTTAAGTGAATAATGTAAAATTAAAATAATATCTTTATTGAAACTCATGAACATGATTGCTTCTGTTTGTATTTGTTTTCGATTATGTTTTTGAGAAGAATAATAGTAATATTTTAAAGTAACTGTATTCAAGTTGAATTTAAATCTGGAACCTACATTATTTTCTGTTCACAAATACTAAAAATCAAATGTTTGTAGAATAATATTATTATTATTATTATTAAATTTAAAAAATATATAAAAAAAATATGTATATAATTTTTTTTTTTTTTTCAGAAAATACAACTGGTTACAATGGCAATACTATTACGGGTCCCGAAGAAGAGACTGAAAAAATCAGTCCATTTTGGTCATTCAATGATTCCGTCGACTTGACGAAATATGAACAGTTTGATCACCAACGTTTCATCGGTTAGTACATTTTCTTATACACTGTTTTTAATATTTTGTTCATCGTACTTCAATGCGTGAAAAAATACGTTTTTATATTTACTCACAATATGTTTTTACTTGTATAGTAACACATTCATATGTTGCAATACATTATTTCGGATAAATGTATTACTCAATGGTAAAAATATAATTATTCAAGGTATATTAAAATGTACTATTAAAAATATACGTGTATTATATTATACATAATAATTATACTCGTAGATACACATTTAGTCCTAAATAAAAATAATTTTGTTAGGATTTAAATTGATTTTTTTTTTCTGTTAAGTATATAATTTGATAATTCTTTTAAAACAATTTCACTTTTTGTAATAATGAATGACAGTAAATAAGTCAGATAACATCTGAATATGTCATTTAAATGAGTAAGAGGATCGTATAATTATAGTTTGTGACATTTATTGAAATCTTATCATAAAGAATCTAAATATTTGGTTTTCTATCTAATGATCTGAAAAGTATCGAAAAATAATTTCAATAATTGAATTATTTAAACAGTTACTGAATTATTTTTTAGAAATATCGACGTCTAAAAAGGAACTGGTCCCGCGACCTTCTATTATAAGAACTACATTTTTCTTCTTAATTTATTAATTTTAATTTAAATTAAATAATAAATTATGAGAGTGTATCTAATGGGCTTCTTCTCCAAAATATGTTACTCATGGCAATTATAATCTTATATCATATTTAATTATTGTTATGCATAAACAGATAGTAAATTTCTTCTTTTTTTTTTTTTAAAAAAAAAAAAGAACTATTAAGTAATTCAATATATTTAAATGATTTATGTATATAATTTTGTATATACTATATACATTTTTGTATTGAGTAGCTGTAATTGTGTTAAAAACCAAAGACAAAACAACATTAAGTTATGAATAAATACTAATACAAGTAATCATAAGTTTCTTTATTATTATTATTTAACTAAAATTGTTTTATGTAGTCGTAATTTAAGTATATATTTAATAAGTTTTTGTTTTTGTGTAAGCATACAACAAATATTCAATTTTCCGTTGACTAAAGCGCTTAACCTAATGATTTTAAATAAGTATACTTTTCCATTGCGTTAAAAGTAAAAAATAAATCTTTTGTCATTGTTCAACCAGAAACTATTTTTTTTATTTTTTTTTTTTTTATTAAATTTAATGCATGACCAATATAAAATACGAATATAATGTTGTTACAGTGATGTTTTTCTTTAAAATTTTTTTTAGTGTAAATGGATCTCTGTAATACAACATAAGATTATACATCAAATTGAATTTACATATTAAAATCGTATTTTATAGAAAATAATAGAACATAATATGTTATATATATTATATATTTATCTATCGTCATATCGGTGGTACCACTTTTGCGGCTTCTTGATCGATAATTGAATACGACTGCCAGATTTTAAGTGGTTTAACACTAGACGCTTCCGTTGAGATGTATTATCATCAAATAATACTTACATAAAAAATCGTGCTACCATCGCCAACGAACGTCAATTTCTCGCCTCAGGGGTAATACGAGCCTACCCAGACTCCCAATAAAATCCTACCCCAAAGTTGATGTGACTAGATTTCAATCAACTCAATCATATCGCAATGATCATAGTGATAGTCAATGACCCCGTATTGTCAGTGAAAACCAACACATAAGTATTGCAATCGTTTTAGCAAATTATTTTCATTTTTTTTTAACCAAAATTACAAGCATTTTGGCCGTTAAGCAATGATTGTTGTCAGAGTGAACAAAGAATCCTGTAAATGCATTATATGCTATGATTAAAAAAATTTGAATTTCAATTTGACTTTCACGTAGTTTGTGTGTAGATTTTCGCTCAGTCTAAGTCTAGGCACATAATAACAGCTATTTAGTCAACCGGTCGTTGTTTCGTATTTGGATTTATGACAAACATCTTAGCGTAATTCTTTCAAACATCGGGGTTTAAATCGACTGAAGTACATATATTACATAATGTCTCAAACCATCCAAAATTATGTTAAATTAAAACAAAAAAATATAGTCATAGCTAGGCTTAGAGACTTATAGCTCTAAAAACATACAAGTATACTTAAAATTAAACATTAAAAATGAACCAAATGTACACTAAAATATGCTCTGACTTGTTTTTGTTCTACTGACATTTTGACTTATAATTTATTTACTTTTTTTTCTTTATTATTGTTAATGATATTTGTGTAACAAAATTTTGTTTTGATTGATTAAAAGTTATTAACCAAATTCGATGCTAGATTGTAGGCTTGCAATACAAACCAAAACAATAAGCTTAGAATATATTTAAATTATTTAAATTATTCACTAATTTTTACGCTGAAAATTTCACTATATTATTAGACATTTTCTTATGTTTTTAAAAATAAATCTATAGTGGTCATTATTATATGAAAATCTTCGTTATACTTCGACGGAAAACAGTGGCACATAATTAAAAAATACTAGGTTATTTGTTAGACCTTCAGGTAATCCATTCATATCTTCAACTTCACCTTTTAACATTTTATATATTTTGGACACAATTTTTAAACTAAATTATTTGTTTAAAATGTTATTGAGCTTTTTTGCGAATGCATTACTTCTTAAACATTTAACTCATTAAATTTATTTTACGTATTTTCGATAACGCTTAATGTATTAAATAGCAAAATAGCTTACTAATCCGAAAACGTTATAGACTCCGGTAAAAATCCAAAATTGAATTTTATGAATGTTTAAATATGTGGCAGATTGTTATTTTACAATTATTTTTGATGTATGCTAATTGATACAGCATTATCATCTTTAAATGTCTGTACAACAAATTTATTTTACACAGTGTTCAAAATAATACAATGTATCGTCAATCCAAGTACCCCATCTCATTAATATGGACTTTGATGGTAATGATAATGATATTATATTGTTTGTCATATTTTTAAAGTATTGTATATGTATATGTTCTATTATAAATACGTGTAATTATTTGAAAATTCATCTTGTAAGTTCTCAGTTAGTTTATGCACAGAATGTGCCAGGCAAGTTACATGAATAATTTTAGAATAAAGGGTTTGATTAGTAATCCCACTTCTGATCAGATTCGCATCGCTTAAAAACAATAAGACCATATAACCCCAGTAGGCCATAAAATCTCCATAATTCTGTAAAATAATTTATATATTGTTGAATAGTTTGTTTTCTCTAATTCGGATACAACAAAAATATTTCACTTGCCCTATCAACTTCCAACATCCCAATTAAAGTTTTTAAATTCGATATTCGATAACTTATTTAGAGAAAAATTTCCTAAGCTTAAATATAACTCATAACGGACAAATTTCAGGATTTGATAAGGTTTAAATGACTGTCTATATCTTCAATCTAATCGATTACATTTTTATTCTTTTAATCGTAGAAAATGTTAATAAAAATATTTTCTTACTTCGAAATAAAGATCGATGACATATGGGGCCTTTATAGCGCATTGTATTAAAATGTGTATATTATGTGATTTATGTGAAAAGATAATATAATATAATTTAACTATACTTGTAGGTGAAATTGTATTGTATTTCCTAAAATATTATCTTTTTTATTACCATTTTAAAACATTTCCGGCATCGATTTGAAGTTGTCTAATTTTCCTCTCAAGCAAAATTCTATTTAATTAAAATTTCCAAATTAAATTTAAAACATTCTAGTCGATCAATATATGTATAGATAGGCACATTTAATAGTATTTAGCAATATGATATATTCCTTTATATCCTTTTTTTTTTTTTTATTTTTACGCAAACTTATAAGTCTACAACATTGTTCTTAACTTTCAAAGCATTAAACTAAATCTCCAAATTATATATTAAAATTTATTAAACCACAAAAGGCCTATGTATTTAAAGGAAAACATACCCATTTCTGATTTATTATTTTTAATTTATAGAGTGTAACTCATAGGTTATACATTTTCGATGAAATTTCACTGGTAGAGTAGTGATATGCCAATACTTTTCGATCTATGTTAATTGATAGTGTTCAATGAATAATGTAACAGTTGATAAAAATGACAAACTTTTAAATTTTTAGTGTATGTCAATTGACAGGATACGATAACGGTACATTACAGTTGTTATATTATAATTTGTTTATGATTAATATATAAAATATGTAGATTTTCCCAGTAAACATTTTTATAATGCATACTGACATCTCAATATTAAAATTATAGTTATTTTAACATAAATAAATGTATATAAATATTGTAATAAAATACAAATTATAACACAATTATTAATAATAATTATTAATTACAACTTATGAAAAATAAAATAAAACTAATAAATATCGTAAATATCGTACACAATCAATAGTTGCCCTATTTATTAACCACTATCGATATCAGTATACCACTTCCATTTTTTTTATATATTATATGTTTGTAAATAGTATAAAAATAGCACACTTTGTAGGTATGTCAAAAAACACAATTCAACACGTTATTGTTTATAAAACTGCAAATTATTTGTTTGGTTTAATTTAATTGAACAAAAATAAAAATAAAAAATATTTTTTGCTTAAACTATTAAGAAGTACCATGATATTATTTTAAAATGAAATTTAACGCTCCAAAAATCTTATTTGATTTAAAACATAAAACCAGAGCGATTTTCACTTTGAAATTACGTACAAAGCTTAATTACAAGATATTATTTTTTATTAAATTTTATATTTTTTTATATTCATATTTAGATCTATCAAATTTCCTTTTAATTTATAATAAATCAAAAATATTTTTTATTCGAAATATGTACTAAAAAGTAATCTAAAATAATTTTTCCTCAGAAAATTCTTAGCAGTTCAAAAAAATAGGTGTGCATTTATATCGTGAACTCATGAATCTTTTAAAACTAAATGAAATCCAATTTGGGTTGCAAATTTTCGTAATTGTCTTAAAAAACAATAGAAAA